ACTGATGATGTTACCTAGTTGGGTAATGAAATGTCTGCAAGCAAAGAACCAAGCTCAGGGAGCACCAAGAACTCCACAGTTCAACCCTGAGTTACATATACTCTCTTCTATTGTAACTGATTGCCCATTCTTTTGCTCAAAGTCTTCCATCAAGGAGGTAGGCTTGGTATTCTGAGCAGCTGGTTCCATATGTTAAATAGTTTCAGCTAGCGTAGACCTTCCAAACGATGGGTGGGAATTAAGGGAGTTGACATCCAACACATCTGGAGGGCACCCTTAGATCTGTCTGGCCTTCAGGCCATCAGCCTTAATAGCTTGTGCTTCTCACAGACATATTTTTTTAATTGGCGACAGACAAAAGAAAGCAATAGTTTTCACCAAGCACAAATACATTCTCCTACAGGCTGTGTTCATAACTGCATCAAGTTAACTTGAACAAGCCATGGTGTCCTAAGGTCTACAATATGCTCAGATATAACCTGATTTACAAGCCATGGTGGCTGGATTCACCCGACATACTAAGCCAAATGAGCCACATTTCTGGAGGCTGTGGGCAAACCACATTAGGGCTCAGCGTAATGTGAAGGCGGCACAACATTGACCACCATCCCCCGCCTCCAACCTCACCTTGGAATCGCCAAGGAAGCGTGTCAGACAAATGTACACGTCCTCCTTGACCTTGAAATGCTTGACAGCATAGACATCATCCATATCGGGAATGTCTGTACGGCGCACAAATTGCTGCTTGTTCCACTGATAGACAACGGGGCGCTGGGAGCTGCTGGCCAAGATGAGGTGGGGCTTGCCTGCAATCTCCAGAAATTCAGCATCTGTGTCACGGTACCAAGAGTGCAAGGACTGGTGGGAATAGAAGCCATGACCATTCCAGCGGTACAGCGTGGTAGAGCCAGCCTTGGAGCTGTCGGCCATGATGAAATACCAGTCTCCCTCCACTCGGAAGACCTCGATGTCGTTGGGCTTGCGGATGTGTGAGCTCTCAATGACCTGGGTGTGCAGGAACTGTCCCGTAGCTTCGTGTCGCTTGTAGATGTGTGACCCTTTGAAGAGCTGAGCTACAACCACAAAGAGTTCACCCTCAATCACCAAGGGTTTGCAGACCACTGTGGAAGAACCTGAGAAGTCGAAAGATGGAGTCACTGAAATGATGCTAGAAACCCTCTTACATTAGTTATCTCATTATTAATTATCATTAAGTAGTGGCATTCATGATCTTAATTATGACATCACAATTGGGATCTGTAGCGTTCCTCTCAAAACGTTTGGGCAGGCAAAGGGTGCAGAAGATGAGATGAGAATGTCATGTCCTGCACGTAAATAGGTTTCCTCCCTAACCTACTTAGTTTTAAGACAATTCAGGAAGGGATCTCTTTGTTTTTGAGATGTGATAAACTCTTCCAATAGGGAACTGTTCTTTTTTTCTGCCCAAACCTCAGTGGGAACTTGTGGCTCCCATTTTGCTATCAAATGGCAATAGTGCAGCGAGGCTCTGGGGGGTGTCAAGGAGATGACTTACAGATCACCATGTCTTGATGACCTACAAATCACAGCAAAGGGCGATGGGCATGAAAGGGTGGTGAAGGTAGCTCCTTACTCATTATTGGTGTAATCTAGTGCTGCTGAACGTTACCCACTGTACGTTTCTGAAAATGGCCAAGGCAATGTTTTTACCTGGCAATGCTGGCAGGAGAAAAGTGTATGTGTTGTGTGTCTCTGGGTTTCTTACCATTGATATAGGCATAGCTGTGAAATTTCCCAGCCACGTGGTCCCACTCCAAGAAGTTGCAACGTCCTGTAAAGGGCTGTGCAATCACCAGATTTTCTTCTCCATGGTAGATGAATGTCTCTACTGAAAGAGATTGCTCTGGCAAAGTATCAAAGAGAACAAGTTCTGTGGGAAGGAAAGTGGAAATTAGCATTAGATCAGGGGTGGAAACTTGCAATCCTCTCTTGCCTTCCACTATTCAGAAAGGGAAGCTCAGTTGGCAGCCGGGAATGCAATGAATCAATAAATGCATTTCTGCAAGGGCTGATGCTGTTTTTAAATGTTCCACGCAGAACATCTTTATCTGCTCACTCTGTTTTACTTTGCTATGTCTTATAGCTGATTCACAATGATGAATCCTGCTGGGTCAGCCCAGAGCAAGGGAGGAGAATCTGCAAGCCTAGGTTCCATGCACCACCTTGCAAAACTCAGAAGTGCCTTCAAGCCTGCCCTGAAGTTTCTACTGAATTGCAATTTTTAATGCAACAAGGAGTGAAATTTAGGTTTTGTCCTGGCCCTTCCCACTTCTTGGAACTGCATCCTCCAGCATGCTCCTCAAAAGCCAGATTCAGCTTTCAGACTAACAAAAGTTGTCCACTGCAGATCCAAAAGTCCATCTAATCCAGAATCTTGCTTCCAACACTGACAACCAGATGTCCCTGAGGTGCTCACCAGTAGACCATGAAAGCAATCAAGCTATTCTCCACCACCAACCTTCAGCACCCCGCATTCAAGGGAATAAGACCTCCAGAAAGAAATGTTGCATGTGATCATTGTCATAAATAGTTCTTGCATAGACCTCCCCTGGCCTCTCCTCCTGGGATATTAAATCCTCTCTTGAAGACTTTGAAGATAAGGACCATCAGCACAACACGTGACATCCCATGAAAAAGATCAGACCACATAGGCAAGATCACATTTCCTAAGACCCACGTTTCAGCATGTCATTCAAATAATCCAAAACTGTTTGAATTTAAGTGGGCATATTGTGAATTTAAGCAAACTCTGACTTCAGCAGGATCAGCCAGTTTGGAAAGTAAAGTGAGAAGAAGGCTGGGAAAAAGACACCACAGTCTAAGTAACCTTGTCTACAACAAATTTCCCCATTTTGCTGGCCACAAGATGTACATGTATGGGACTTCAACTCCCAGATTCTCCAACACATCTGAACGATATCACTGGTTTAGAATGGAACTGCCCCATTCCTTAGGGCAGTGTTTCTCAACCTTGGCAACTTTAAGATGCGTGGACTTCAACTCCCAGAATTCCCCAGCCAGCATGGCTGGCTAGGGGATTTTTGGGGTTTAAGTCCAAGCATCTTAAAGTTTTCAAGGTTGAGAAAAACTGCCCTAAGGAATGGGGCAGTTCCATTCTAAACCAGTGATATCGTTCAGATGTGTTGGAGAATCTGGGAGTTGAAGTCCACACATCTACATCTTGTGGCCAGCAAAATGGGGAAATTTGTTGTAGACA